TTAAATACTTAGTGCATGACGGTATTATTTACCGTTGTACTGGGTCGACAGGGACTGGAAATCCTCACTTCAACTCAATGGAAAATTGAACTCCTCATTTTCACTCAAAAAATGAATTGAATTCCTCATTTTTCACTTAAATCCGAGTTAAGCTCTTCACTGCAATAAAAAATAGTTGAAGTCAGAAGACTTAACACAGCTGTGCGCGGCAGTAATATTGAAAGTCTCAAAATAACAGATTGGAAGGCGTCCAATAGAATTGGAATTTTTAGATTTCAGAAACTCAAAGTCAACAAATAAAAGGTGAAATTTGGTCCAATGGATGCACCAAAAATACCGAGACTACTTGGACAATCAGTACGGGTATCATATGTTAATGATATTACTGGGATGCTTTTCCCGAAACAAAAATTAAAATGTTTCAAACCATTTATCTGTAGACCGTTCTTCGTGGCATCGGTAGTCGTACTGGTGCGATGCTGAACCATTCGAGGGGTCATTCTCCGATGATTGCTTTCATGTGGTTTTTGTTGCTCTACTGCCGGTGAATTGGAGGATGAAAGTGACAGTGGGAGGGATGAATTTTGCGCCGACAGCTCTGTCGATGCCATGGAATTAATGAAGGGCTCGCCTTTGTTCTTCCGCTCTGGAGCAGCTGGACATGGGTACCGTATCGACTGACTACTGCTCACAACGTTCTCGTTGTTCGTACTACTCTTTTCCCGAAATAACTCGGAACTGACACCTAACTGCCCTTTTTTGCTTTCCATTTCTCGTAGACTTTCCAGCAGTGCAGTTCCGCGTCTTTCTTCATACCTGTGCTGAAGATTCTTGTGCTCCAAAAAATCCGGTTTTTTCCTCGATTTTTCCATCTTGGTTTGTTGGATTTTTGGCTCATTTTTGCACTGATGCAGTGGCGGCTTGGGTTTTTCTTGCATTTCCAAATTTTTGCATGATTCCTCATAATCCAGGTTTAAAGAGGAATCATCTTTCGCTAGGATAGGAGTTTCGCGTAAGTCATTTGAGTCACCCTGCACTAGAAGTTGGAAATCATGTGAGATTTTGCTTGTCCGCTGTAGTGATCTCGCATGGCGCCTTTCACTCGGGAAAACATCACGAAAGTTCCGAAATCCCAGGCGGTCGGAACCGGACTGTTGTTGGTACTTCGGTGAACTGTCTTCGTCATCAGAATCATCAGAGTAATTTGCTGGCTGATATTCACGTATCTCTACGTCAGGGCTCAATGTTACGCGTTTAGGGGTTCCAGCCGCCGAGCGTGGTCTTTGAGAGATATCCGACGTTTCTTTGAAGGTACCACCATTTGCTTCTGGAGCACAACACTTTTCGGGATCGATGGCAAGAACATGATGTCCGGAGCCGGAATCCGATTGGTTCCGTCCACGAGTTGTTTCCACAAATAAAGGACTGTAGTTTTCATGGTGGTGTTGATGACTGTTGTGATTAGCGCCGCACAGTTTTATCGGATAATTCGGT